ACAAACTAGAGTAAAAGTCATGTTATTTGTAATACCCCAAGAGGTATAAAAAGACTTGGTTTCAGACCAAGTCAGAAAAATCATGTTCATATAATCTTTTAATTATTGATCTAATAATTAATATTTCCTAATACACTGTAACAATATTATTATCGCTAATAAAAACACATAACATATTTTACCTTAAAAATAATAATCTCTAAATAATTAATAAACCACCAAGGAGAAACCTTTGCTGCCCATAACAGATAACCAACATTTCAATTATTGAGAGACATCTCAAGGGGACGCCTTTGGGATATAATATATATATAGAACCTAGGGAACCTTTTATCCAAAGGATAAAAGTTATATTTTATTAATTTTTGACTGTAAGTCAGTGAGTAGGCTGTGTGTCAAACAATAGAATCAACTGTAAGTCAGTGAGGAGGCTGTGTGTTGAGCTAAATAACCTATTTGATTAGGTAACTCGGATTGCACACTCACAATTTGGTGACGACAGGACCAGCCATCAGCATAGTCATCATACTAGTTGAGCAGTTTGGTCCAAACGAACCTGTAATTAAATTATCATAACACTGTGGACCCCAGAAAAAGAAGAAGCTTAAGAAATACTAAAGCCAGATTTATAGAAGAATTAGAAGAGTCAGATACAACAGAAGCCCTTTCTACAGACTCAGACGAATTAGAATCTTTAGACCAAGACCAAGAGTCAGTATACCAAGAATCTGAATACTCAGAATCAATACAGACAGCACCAGACTATAGCACACTATTTGAAAGTTCGGAGGAAAACTCAGATACAACAGAAACTTATAGTGATACAGTATCAGAAAAATCAGGTATGGGATCATCATCTGAAACTAAACAACCCTGTGTAAAAACTGAAGTATCATCAATAGGAGCTCAGTATGAGATTAGTGACCTAGATGGGGTCACTGAATTCGAAATAGAAGACAAAAAGTTCAACAAAGGATTTGATGGGGGATGGCACTGTAAAAACCCAAAGATCTCAATTCATCTGAAAGATGGGGAAGATAAGTTAGTTATACCAGTAAAATCATTATATGAAGGAAAAGGTAAAGCTAAGGAAGAGTTCAAGGATGATGAAGATGAGTTTAATGAAGATGAAATGAAGATACTTCTCGACGACTTGTCCAAGGAAGAACAAGATAAAATAACAAGCTATCAAAAGCATTACATATTGGAGACTCAGAAGAAGTTGGTAGAGCTAACCCAAGCCCATGACCGAAGAGAAAGAGAGCTAGCTAAACAAAGAAACAAAGGTATATTTGACACAGTAGCAGAATACCTGGAAAAGAATCAGACTGGTCCAGATGATTATAAATTAGAAATTAACTTAGATAACAGTGATGAAGAAGAAGAATCATCCGACAAAGAAGAGGAAGATGAGCATGAAAAGAAAGAATTGGAAAAATTGGTGAAAGTTTTTACAGCAGCAGGACTAGGGGGAAAAGAGACCAAGTGGTCAGAATTTCCAAAATTCAGAGGAGGGGAAGATGATCCATATGAATGGCTTGATCAATATGAAGCTACTTGTGAAGTGAATGGAGTAAAGAGTAACAGAATGTTAGACTTGTTATCAGCAAGTTTAGAAGGACCAGCCTTATCATGGTGGAGATCTGCTAGAAAAACTATAATCACATGGGAAGCATGGAAATCAGAGTACAAATGTAAAAGATCATTTAAGTACCAATTCTTAACCAGATTCTGTGGACCTGAAAGACAACAGAGATGGATGGAAGAACTTCGGAATTGTAAGCAAAGACCAGGAGAAACAGTCAGTGAATATTATGGTAAATTACAAACCTTGTATAGAAAGGCAGACCCAGCTAAACAATACCCAGAAAGAGATAACTATCAACAATTCTTGAAAGGTCTAAGAAGTGAATTACGAACAGCAGTAAGACTAGCAGCTGCATCCAACCTTAGAGAAGCTGTGGAAAGAGCAAAGGCTGCAGAAGCTGCTTATTCCATGGACGGATCTTTGGCAGGATATTCTTTGGTGAAGAAACATGATGAGGAGCTCCACAAAGAACTTAAAGAACTGAAAGAACTTTTAACAAAGTCAGCACAAGAAACATGTGATCTTTGCTACAAGAAAGGATATCAGGCAGCAGAATGTCCCCAGAGAAGTCTGAAAGTAACTACTCAACCAAAGAAAAATTGCAAAGCTTGTGGAAAAACAGGACATTGGGCTAAAGAATGTACAAAAACCCGAACTTGTTATACATGTGGACAATTAGGACACTTTGCCAACCAATGTCCTCATTCAGCACAATTTAAACAGATACTACAAAGAGATAATCAACAACAAGAACCAAAGAAAGTTTTTATCACTCAGCAAAATCAATTAGATCCAGAAGATCAGGAACAAAATTATGGGTATTACCAACCAAATTATTATCAACAACCTCAATACTATAACACACCACCACCACCAGCAACCCAATATCTACAAATTGAACAAAGTTCCACACCAAAGCCACCAGACACTCTAGGAATGCTTGCTGCAGCTGTGACTGAATTAACCAACAAAGTAAACAATTTAAAAGGGTAAAAGCACCTCCAAAGGGGCAGGATGGTGCAATAGATGAAAATAATGCCCCAGACAAAAAGACAGACGCCATAACAAGTAAAATACATATAGACAATATAGAGACAGAAGTTGTGGTCAATACAGGATCAGGACTTAGCTTAATAACCCAACAATATTTAAATAAACTGGGAAGACAGATTGACCAAGAATCTAATTCTCAATTGGTAGACATCAATGGCAAAGAAACTAGGCCGTTGGGAATAGTAAAAAACGTTTTAGTCACTTTAGATGGAAAGAAACCAATACATATAGATATGGCTGTAATGAGAGCCACAAATTATAATGTAATACTAGGAAATAATTGGCTGAGAAAGATAGAAGCCACTATAAACTTCAAAGATAAAGTGTTACGATTTAAGGAAGGGAAAGACCTTCTCCAACATCCTATTATATTTGAAAGAGAATTAAAGAAAGTAGTCTTGAAGGGAAATGATCTTTATGATGAAGAAGAATTAATTGAAACCATGGCGTATTTTACACAAGTGGTGAAAAAGGAAAAAGAGTATTTACTGAAACTAGCAGGAGATAAACAAGCCTCAGAAGGAGATAGAGAAAGGATAGAAGATGCTCAACAAAAGGAAGAGTGGAAGAATACCCCAGTACTAATGGCTGAAGAAAAGTCACCGTTGACTGAAAGAGTCATCAAACTCCATCCTGTCCTTCAACAAACCTACAATTGTTTCCATAACTTCTTTTAATCCTATGCTAAGTCTGGTTTCATCATTCAATGCCTCACTATCAATTTCTATTGGATATATTCTTTTTGAGAGATATATATTCTCTGGTGTATACATTAAGAAAGTCCAATTTTCAGCTACAATTTAAAAATTAAAATTAGTTAAATAAATATTTATGTAAATTATAATTCCTTGACAAAACTCACCAGTAGTCACAATGCATAAATGTAATCATAATAATCTTCAAAATCTCTATCTGTTTTTTGGCTTTTATTCTTTTTATTTGAATAGAAAGCACTTTTAAGTTGCATGATATTTTGGATAATTCCAATGACTGCTGTTTCTTTTTTGGTCTCAGTTATGCACACCAACTCTTCTAAATGACCACTTATTTTACTTGTTCGAATTGCATAATCAACATTGCCTGATGCTTCTACACCAATAATTTCCATCTGTGGATACATTCTAATTGATTTGCCTGTAATTTCTTTGACGATTGATACAGACTTTACTAATATTGTATCAACATATAAGGAATGCAAAGCTTCAGGTTGACCTGTTAATTCACCCATATTACTTAACCTTTCTTTAATAGATTCTATACATAATTTATAAATTTTATTGCTATCATCAATTTTCACCATTACTAAGAAAAAAAAATGTTAGCCTTGTCAAATTTCCAAACAAAAGATTTATTTTATATTGCAAGCTTACCTGGGTTGAAATGTGGAAAATCACGTATATCAGAGATTCCATAGTTGTCTAAAATAAGCTTCATATCATCCTTAGTTCTATAATTTGAAAATGATTTTAATTTTTCAGGGAACTTTTGCACAAGGCCTGCAATCCTCATCGCAGGTCCAAATGGCATTCCTAAATTTTGGAGTTCTTTTTTGGTTAATTTGATGAAGTCTGAACCTACAACCCTCTGTTTTTCAATAATACTAATGTCATTGTCTTCAAGCTCCAGTTCTTTTTTTACAGATTTTAAATAATCAAGAACTTCATCTTGCCTCCATGTTTTAACCATTGGAACTGTTGGAAGAACTTTTAGGTTCGTTACTGTTTGAGAATATGATCTAAATGTGAACTTGCATGGTTTGAATGTTAATGTCTTCAAAATGCGGTTATACATATTGATATTATCAGTTATTACAATGCAAGTATAGATTTAAATTCATCGCACAAGATAATCTAGTAAGTAATATATATAATATGGAGACCAATCATATTAATGAAATATTGTTCATTTCACAATGATTTTTTTTTTTGTAATTATTATATATATAATATTAATTACTTATCCCATGTCATTTATGTAATTATCCATTTTTACTTATACTTACTCAAAAATAAACTTTTATAATATAAAAAAAAAGTTGTTTTCCAAAAACAATTCTAATCACAAATTCTTTCATAAAATGGTAAAAAACCCAATTCATTTTATTTTACTTGATTATTTGTTTTAAAAGGTACTTATTAA